TTTTAATTCTCAATTTAGCTTCTTTTATTACTAGTATTGATTATAAAGGCTATAAGGGACGTATGCGCACGGGCTAGGGCTTCTAAAATATAGAAAGAAATCAATGCAAAATCCAAGCCATTATACGAGTTTTAATACCCTCTACTCGTAGCGAAATATTAGATTTTGAAATTTAGTCCCCGTGCGGATAGAGTTTTATCCCCGTGCAGATAGAGTTTTATCCCCGTGCAGATAGAGGTTCTCTAATTTAAATCCTAATTTAATATATTATACGGTTACAAATCGAATAATATTCTACCTTCTTACAATTTAAGACTACGCCCTTTAATTAAATAATAAAAACCATTAAGACTTCTATATTATAATTAACTCCTCATTTATAAACAACTCTCTTAATCGAAAGAATTTATAAACGTTTATACTTAAATTCTTAGGCGCTATAATCGATTAGCGAACTAATAAATAAAATATAATTATAATTTTATTTATAAAGGCCGAATTACTATCCTTTAACTAGGGAGTTAAGGAGGCTATCTATACCCGCTCTCTTTTAATAAGCTTACTTTAAGGTTTAAAAATTAAGAGGCTACGCCTATAGGTTGTAATAATAAATAGACAATATAATTTATTATAAAGGAGGGAATTCGGTTCGTAACCAAGCTCAAGTATATTAATATATATAAATATTAGTTAAAATAAGCATAAAAAAGGAAGTTAGTAGACGTAGTATACGTACTTACTAAGGAGTAAATTATAAATAGCTTTACTAAAAGCCTCCTTCTCACAATATATTTAAAGTCTTTGGAATAGTTAGGACTTATAGAATTATAACAGTTATAAATTTAATTACGAGAATTTAATAGCGGAGATATCGTTGTAAGCCGCCCGAAGGGTATAGAGGATTCTATAGAAGAGGATTCGGGTAACGAATCGGCGAATATAACAGTAAGTATAATAAGATAAGATTTTTATAAGTAATAGTTTGAAAGGTACCATAACGAAGAAGCAATTTGGGAATAGTATTATTTTTGGCCAGTTTTGGAAGGATTATAGGGCATTTTTGGGTAGATATGGCGTAGTTTGTACACTAGATCTAAGGGGGTGTATTAGAGGCCAAGGGATCCACTAGGCGTACACATGCCCAGCTGGACTGGGATATGCGGGATTTTTATCCAGATGCTAGAGCTTCAAGTCTGCAGAGCCAGTCTTACACACACACACACAATCAAGCCACGTTGAACCCATATCGATTATTATCAGTAATATCACACTCTCCGCTTTTTTCCACGTGCGCGTATTGCAGCTTGGCATCACGGGTGTATGATGTGCAATCAGGACTTGTGGTTGGAGCGAACAAAACAGCGTGGTATTCTTTCTGGATGGGCGTGAAGCTTCTTCGTATGTGAATAAGGGTTGACGACCGCTTCATCCATATTATGGCGTTATACCGCTTTTTTTCAGTCGATGTGGTTTTGCTCAAACAGGTATAGGGCCGGGACCATCTGGCAGAAGCAAAGCCTAACAAGGGGTTCAACCAATATGTTATTGAGTTGATGCGGGTCACAGTCGATCGTACGCTTGCCAATGTGGTCAGTTGGTTCCTCGGAACAGTTCAGTAACAGACATTGGTGTGATTGTCGGTATGACCTGCATCCCCGTGTTAGGCTTTGCTAGTCCGGACCTTAGCGCAGGTTGAGTAAAACCACATCGACTGAAAAAAAGCGGTAGACGGCGATACGACCCGTGCCGGAAATGATGTTGCTATTTTGATACTTAGCCAGGGCTTCGAGGAGGCTGGCGATGCTGCTATTGCTGCTGCTGCTGGTATCGTGATTGAAGTGATCATCAGTCGATTGTCTTCACTTCCTTGGCCACAGCATTGCACAGCACGACCCGTACGCCCGCTGCCGAGAGCACATGGATCCATAGCCGTTGTGTGTCACTGAGCCGGTCATTGGCGCTTTTGACTTCCACAAACATAACCTCCCCCTTGCCGTTCCCAGACTGCTCCTTTCGATCGCCGCTTGACTCTTTAGCAGTACGCCACAGGATCAAGTCCGGCACACCACCCCCGCGAGCCTTGTAATCCTGTGCAATAACCTTGCATATGGCGGCAAGAGCCTCACCCTCGAAGCAGGAAACCAGCTCAAGAAGGTCCTCAACCTCGTAATCCCAGTTCAGCCCAACGATGCAGGTACGACGCTCACGGTGCTGTTCATTGACTTGGCGAATAAGGTTGCTAGCTCCACCATTGGATATTTCCACCAAGCGGTGATTGATCTCGCTCGCCCGGGCAGGATAGAAGGCGTCAGTATGTAGATCCAAAGGACAGGTTTGGTAAGCGGTCTCAAAGACGTTCGGGACGAAGAGGAAGAGGATGTCGCAGAACAAGTACGCGAAAAGTGTCCGCAGAATCCCACCCTCACTGTGATATCCTTTCCAGCCTTGTGTGCGGTAGAATGAGAGGCACATCTCCTCTACACTGACATGCATTAAATTGCCCTCCTCGTCCGGGTCACCCAGTTCGTCAAGCCAGATAGTCTTGGTACTTCCTTGGCCACGACCTGCGTCCTCACGGACCAACTGAATACCCTCGATTGTGTGCTCCTCCGGATCTCGCAGCCTGGCATGGTCAAAGTTGTGTTGTTGACGACGCGGAATGTTGAGTTGCTTTTCAAGTCTGATAAGACGCTTTTGCAAATCATAATGGTGGATCAGGTGGCAGTTGGGATCCTGGAGGGCCGTTTCGCAAGTCGAAAGAGCAATTTGCCTCCAGCGCTTCTTTTGAAGATTCTTTTGTGCTTCGGATAATGCTGTTGTAGGAGGTTGCTCCAGTTCCCACATATACCGCTCTTCGACGAGGGCCTTTCGCTTATACCAAGCACCTCGCCGGGCAAGGTGAAAGAGTTGTTGGCTTAGTAGCTCGGTCAGAAGATCATATTCGTCCTGATACCGATGCAGGCGGCCAAGACCTTCAGCAGCTTTATGCGCAATCCTCGTATAAGCATGTCCTGCACTGAAGCGGCGAAGATACCCTCCTTCGCCGAACTCGTATTCCGTATCCTCCATTTTCTGTGCTTCAGTAAGCAGCTCTCTCCAACGAGGGGCTATGCTCTCGAACTTTTCCACGACTTTGCGATTCCCCTCTGCTCCCGGTGGCCCGTTGAATTCCAAAATGGTGTCTACCTCGAACTGGAGACGCATTGAATTCTCAAACTCCAAGAGATGCCGCCGGGATGGAAAGATGTTAGATGAGCGACAGACGACATATTCAGGAAAGTTCCTCCTCGAAATCTTGGCTAAGATGATTGTTGTCAGTGACTTTTCTGTCCATTCGGTAGACCGATAGAAAACCAAGTGAACACGTTCAAATAGCTTAAAGACAGACTCTGAAAGTCTGACGAGCGGGCCAGTAATAGCAAGGATCTTGTCCAGGAAGTGGGCTTTTCGGTTGGTATCTTGCTTCTCTGAGTTTGCTTCTTCCGATGTAGAGTCCAACGAGTTCATCGATGCATTGGTGCTGGACCGTCGTAATCCAACAGACATGAGGCTTGACTGCTGGGAACACATTCGGCAGAACGCCTTGATCAGGTCCGGCTTGTTCTTACCCTGAACTTTGGCATCCTTTGCAAGAGCTTTGAGTTCGTCAAGAGACAGTAGATGTGCGGCTTGCTCAACCGTCTTGATGTGCGATGCCGAATCATCAGCAAATGCAAACGTGTCGGTGAAGAGATGCTCCGGTTCTTCCATGGACTCCTTATCGGACTTCTTCACAAAGTCTCCCTTTGACAGCTCCCGAGACTCCAGTAGACTCTCAATGGCCTTCTCTATGTCCGATATGTCGGGGTAATGCTTCAGCCGTTCTAAACGATGCCAAGAAGCAGTTTTGCGCAAAAACAGACGCACATACCTGAAGAGTGTCAGTCAAAAATGGTCACGCCATGGCAGGGTTCCATACAAGTACTGAGCTTCATAGCTCAACGCTCTCCAATTCTCAAATACACAGTTTTCCTTCTCGTCAAAAAGATGCGCTTCGTCTTGCAGGACTGTATCCAAGGCAAGGTTGAAAGCGTCAACGTAAATCGAACTTTGCCCTCGGACCCATTTCCGTGTCTGTAGTCGTGTCTCCGCGCTGACTTCGCCATCCTCGACTTGGGAAGACTTCAGCTTTTCGTATTCTTCGATTATATCGTCGTCAACCTTGACCTCGGGCAAACTATCCTCTAAGGCCGTATGGTGGTGCGCTGCTGGGACATTGTCTGTGGCATCGCCATCTTCAACATCAAGACTTCCGGTCTTTGCATCTCGAATAAGAGGCGAATCCCGACTCTGAGCCGACAGAAATGAATCCTCGTCTTCGTCGTTGTTCAATGCTGTAAAAGAGTCATCGTCTTCAGTTTCATCTTTCTGTTTAACTTGGTCGATCCGACGCTTCTTTGTTGGTGGCGTTTCAAGTCTCTTTTTGGTGTTGGTCCACCCAGCTGCCAACGCTGGACGAGTGTTGGCAGTCTGGGACGGTCTCGTCCTCTTCACAAATCGGTCCATTCTTTCTCTGACGACTGAGATATTGGAGGATCGAAGACCATGGTGTACGGCGCCTGAAATGATCAAGTATCCACGGTGGTCAGAGAAAATGACACTATGCACATTTCCTCTTCAGCTTCATGGAATAAAGACGAGTGAAAGGTACGAACAATGAGTAACGTGTGTGGAAAGGTGGTGAAAGGGACCGCGCTGAACTTTAACGCGAAGTCCCGTGACTGCGTGTGCTATGGTGGGGCAGCGGGAGCGACGCAGTGATCTCCAGACGCAATTGGAGCTGCAAAGGGACCAGAGCTTCCCCAGACATCAACTTCTCGAGAACAGCATTGAACGGATACCACACCACCAAGCCACGACTTTTACCACGTGCAGTCACCCAGGAATAGAACAAAGCTTGGTATATCTTTGGCCCACTTGCTGTTACCACAACGATTATTCCTTTATTATCAACCTCAAAGATGGCCGCCAACGAGCCGCTACTGGGACAAGCTTCAACAGACGATGTAAACATGACCGATGCTCAGTCCGACCAACCAACTGTACGCTCCATTCCTCTGACATATTCACCTCCAAGTCTGCCTGTGAACAAACCTCCCGTCATCTTGCCCATTCCCAAAAATCAACTCCCCCCGTCACTCCTCGCTCTCCCAAAGCCTAGATAATTCACTAACCACCACCACTCTCCGTCAACAACAGCAACAACACCACCTAACAAGCCATCACCACATCCCCGACCGTCCCCCTCACCCCGTCTCTCCCGTTCCGATTCCCCAGATCCCCGGCCGTCCAAGTCCCACAGGGGCACACCCCACGGCAAACCAAGGACCCAGCGCGATCCGCAGCACGGCCCCTGCAACGAACGGCTCGACGACAACCGAAGACCAACAATCACAACCACTACCACCGTATCAGCAGCGGGCTGGTTCGTCACGAGCTGCTTCTGCGCACCCACAGGATTCTGGTCAGGGTCAGCAACAGGGACCGGGATTAATGGGTACAGCAGGCATGCCCACGGAGCCGACACTTCACGGCGCGCCGGTGAGGCAGTACTTGAATACGAAGGTGACGGGACATTTATTGGAGGGGATGAAGATGTTGGCTAAGGAGCAGTATGTTACAACACCCTTACACCCTCCTCCGTGCATGGTTTACCTATAAGGAAACTGTTGGGGTGGTGGTAGTTGCTAACCGAACTTGAACAAAATTAGACCAAAAGACCCCCTCCGAGCCCTAGGCGAATTCCTCCTCCAGCGATCTAAACAGTATGAGGGTGGTGGTGCAAATGGTAGTTTAACTAGCGCATAGAAGGCTTCAGTCATGAATCAGCCAACGCACATACCGGAGGCCGTGATCAGCGGCCGCCGTAGTTCTCATAAGGTCCACGAGGAGTCTCACCTTGACGAGGTCTATACTTTTACTTTTGATTCTCAGAGTGACGGGATAAAGGAAGAAAAGGAAGGAAGAAGCTCCGGCGTTCAGGAAAAAAAGGGTGAACAAAAGAGGGTATATGGTCTACGTAACAGAACCCGTGGGGTGACATATCATGAAAGCGATTAATTATGGCTAGGGTAACAGTGGTTTCACGACATAGTGGTCATGGGATAAACAGGAGAACAGCATTTGAGGCAAGAGGATCGAGGACTTTGTATTTTTCATAACAAAAACCTCCGATGACTTCGTCTTCATCCTGGGTGCTGCTAGACATCCGGCTAACAGATGATTTGCACATGTTAAGCAGCAAGACCGCATCCCATGCTTTTCTTCTCTGCAGTGATTCCGAGAATGCAAGTTTCCTTTCCATTCCTCCCCCAACGCCCTTTTCACTTTGTGTGGATCGACCAGACGTCATGCCAAGCATGCTGCAAAAGAAGACACCCGTAGATGTCGACAAAGATCATTCCATCTCGACTCGGCTGCCCACCCTCTTTCACCAAAATCTTGCGGCGCGTGCTCTACGCTTAGGAGACGATGGTGGAGGCAGTGGAAGACTCGTACTTCCAGGTGGGGGGGAGGACACCGACGGTCTTGTAGTAGCGGGCAAGACGGTGGATACGGGACTCAATGAGAATGAGACGGAACTTGGAGTCCTTGTCCTTGCGGTTGCGCTCAAGGTGCTTGCGGACGGCAACAGCCTATTGTAAAAGGACGTTAGTTGACCCGGTGGGGATGACGTATGAAAATAACGGGCGGGTCTTTCTTACCTTCTTGATGAGCATGTACAGGTCCTCCGGGAGATCGGGGGCAAGGCCTGTAAATAGCATCACTCTGTCAGCCAATCTGACCAAACAGAGGCATGTGCGTCTTTGACGTGTTGTTTGTTTCCCAGCTCTTTCTCTCGTTCCTTCTGCGTCTGGCGCTCATGTCCCATGTCGTCCACCCGTTACGGGTGCGCATTAAAGGCAACGCGCGCGGCGGGCTGAGCGAGAGCTGAGAAAGCCCGCGGGACATGTGCCCATTGGCATCGAGTTTCGAGTTTCGAGGGCCGGTGAAATGTGGGGGATATCGTTGCGATTCGATTGTTTCGTTTCGCTTCCGCGTGGGCAAATTCAAGGGAATTCGTCGGAGTAGTAGGCAGTCATACCGTTGGACTTCAGGATACGAAGGATCTTGTTACCTGCAGAACCACCACCGTCAGCATTTCACGTCGTCGCCAATCGTCGAGGACTTCAGGAATTCAACATACCAGTGACAACCTTGACCTGGGCAACACCGTGGGAGTCACGGAGGATGACACCAATCTGGGAGGGGGTAGCACCCTTCTTGGCGAGCTTGCAGATCTGGTCGACGACCTGCTCGGGGGTGGTCTTGAGCCACGAGGGGGGGTTGCGCGAGTAGGGGATCGCGGAGGCAGAAATGCCCTTGCCCTTGGAGTGCATACGGCCCATCTTGAATGATTTTGGTGGTGCTGCGGTTGTCGGGGGAGTGACTTCGGCTGGCTTGTCGTCGACAGAGAAGTACGAAGAAAATATCACCAGGCGGGCGGTTTGGCGGTCGTGCGATATTCGCTGTGGGCTGGGAAAATTCGCTTGCTTAGTCAGGCTGTTAGGGTCAGCGGTCTGATTGGTTGCCAAGTACTGAATTTCGCAGTTCAGGTTCCACATTCACGTGAGTGGGGACTTGACTTAAACTTTTCTCGCTTGGCATCTCCCGCGCCTGCTCCTCCAAGCATAAATAAGTTTCCTAGCAAATCTTTCCCGCAAAGTTCACCCCTTGGATCTTCCTCCAATCATCGCCAGGTCGGCCGTCGGTCCGTTTGATCATGCTACTCGACAGCATTTGGTCATGACCTCCAGAGACATGCGTTAGTGCAGTCCTGCCAGATTCAGCTCAAACTGAAGCTGGGCAGTATCAGGAATCATGACCATGACGGCCGACTTGGTATTCTACTCATTCTGGTCAGTTATCACTGCTTCCGCTACACCTCCCCTCCCGAGCCTCCTTATCCTGATGATACACACTTTATACTTTATTCTGGTACCTCTTATGTTAAGGTCCCTCGGGACTTGATGAATTAAACGGACTTCTGAAACCAATGGCTCGCACAACCTTTCTTGTTATGGCACAATTGGAGATGAGCTCAGGCTAACATTGCCTCAGATTTAGGAGTATCTTTCTATCCTTGAGATTTGGGGCCGTCACGGCTGGTAGCGCCTTTTGCGTGAACGGTTGTCGCGTCGTCGCAGGCGTTGGTTGGCAAAACCGGACATTTAGACTAGGATAATGATAATGAAGTAATCCCAATACGAGTTCCCTTGTTGATTGATGATGTAGCGTGAACGTTTGGCATGCAATCAGAACACACTTGTGTAGATTGAAACTGTAACCTCTTCTGTTTTTGAGCGCCCTGAGGGTCCCTGCGGCTGAAACTCCCATCAATATCTGTACACGCCGCTGAGACTCCTACGATAACTTCAAGGAAATGACCGAACCTCGGTACTCATGACGTTGTTGTAACTGTTTCCTCGTCATCGACCAATAAACCAGGCTGTACCATGCACGATTGCTGCTCTTCCTTTCAATACAGATAGACATATCCCATCTCCTACTGCTTGTCTTCCTTTACCAGGCGTTGACATCAAAGTTCTCCTGTAGGGATTGTCAGTATAACCGAGCGAAGCAAATCAGAGCAAAGCTTATGAAACTAACCTCAGGGAAGTATGTCGCAACCACCGTGCGGTCAGCGAACTTCCTGCCTGCCAACGATTTGAGGGCCTTTGTTGCTTGGTCGGAATTCTCGTATTTGATGTAAATCTTGCCAACGCCGGCAGACTGCCTGCTTCCGCCAGTGGCCCTGGGAATCTTCAAGGAAACAATAGTTCCGAACTTCTCGCATTCCTCCTGGACGTCATCACGAATTTCTTGAGAAATAGATGTTAGCATCCCGGAACTGCTCATGTAACTGGAACGTCGAACAAACCTTCATAATCGTCGTTGTCCATCAACTCATCCGCCGTAACCATGTTCAGGAGCTGCACAACCCTGCTGACGTCGCCATCCAGGGAAGTGGTACCAGCAAGCATGGACATGGCATTTACACTCAGTTCTCCAGCAACCTGCTGAATGCCGTAGCTGGCCTTCTGAACCTTCAGCGCCCTGTCGCCCAGCATCATGTTGTTAAGGCCGTCAATAGCGACAGATGTGACCGAAGAGTCGTGATACTCGCAGAATGCGATACCCTATTACATATTAGCAGGTCAATTCGCTGGTACAAGGGACCGATAGACTCACCCTCGATTCCTCTGTATGCTTATCCTTGACCAACACAAAGGACTTGAGCTTGCCAAAGCTAACCAGGAGCTCCATGATTTGCTCTTCGGTGAGATATGCGGGGATGTTGGTGACACTGATCTTGTTGGGGCTGTCGATAACAATGCTGGAAGGAACCTCCGAATCGGGGTCGTAGTTGGGGTCCTCGACAATTGCAGGTACGATGTAATCCTTCGGCCTGCGAATCTTGAGCCCACCGGCACCAGCAGCACCATTGGCATCCTCGGCCTCCATGGTGATACCGTCAAGGGCCAGAGCGACTGTCGCATCCGGGCTGTTCCTGAACTCGAGCATGGCGAAGCTGTGGTCGGGGGATATTTGGCACTGGACGCAAGGATCCGTGCTATCGATAACGTTTAGGCCATTGAGTTGAAGGTTGAAGAAACCCAACAGGCTCTCGTCGGTGGCTGACGGTGGGATATTCGAAACAATAAGACGCTTGCTCTGGCGGGAGTTGGTCGGCTTAAGGGCGGCGCTATTGACAGCTCCACCTGGCTGGGTCATGAAGGCCTGAAGCTTAGTCGGGTCCATGGCCTGTTGTCGCGGTGCGCCGGGTAATGGGAACATGCCCGAGAGCTTGGCCTGCTCGGCGGTGACGTTGCCGTATCCGGGAGGCTTGATATCCCACTGTGTCATGCGCCTCTTGCGCTCCAAAACGGGAACGATATCAGTCAAGTCGGGTGTCGGTTCCCTCTTCTTAGGGGGCGGCGAGACACTCCTCCTGCGCTCCCTGTCCGCCTCTCTGTCCCTTCTGCCTCCACCGCGGCGATCATCTCCCATCACATCGCGATCTCTTTCCCGGCGACGGCCGCCTTCGTCATCGTCCCGCCGGCTGCGACCTCCACGGTCGGCCCCGCGGTCAGCGCCACGGTCCGCACCACGATCGGCTCCACGGTCGGCTCCACGGTCGGCTCCACGGTCGGCGCCCCTGTCACGATCCCACTCCCTCTCACCACGATCGGGTCCACGACGGTCGCGGCCAGAGTATCTATCTTCTCGCTCGCGGTCGCGGTGGCTGCGGCTCGATGAATAAGCGTCGAAATCGCCGTCTTCGCGACGGGGTCGGCTGCTGCGGTAGTCGGCGGGAGAGCGAGAGCGTCTGCGTCCACTGCCTCGGTCACTGCGATCTCCACGGTCACGTCTGTCATCGCGGTCGCGTCTCGAGGACTGGTGACTAGTTAGCTTAGGAGGGCGGCAATGACTATTGTCAACCTTGTATACGAGGCGCACTTACCGGATGGTCGCGAGACGAACCGTGTCGGCCGCTGTCTGTTTCGCCACGGTTAGGTTGAGATCTAGCGGGTAGCCACGGTCAGTGCTAACATACCTCTGGAGGAATAGGTGTCCCCGTTCATGGTCAACACAGATCTCGTTAAGTATAAAAGAGACGGTACGAGATGGTTGCGCCAAAGAAGCAGAAAATGGTTCTGGGAGGATTTGATGAAATGGAAAGTGGCTTTGCTTGAGCTTCCAATTGCGAGTTTCGTCGTTGATCGCGAGGCTGCAACTTTTCCAGCGGCCGTTGCTGTTACTGCAGAGTGCGCTTTCCCCCTTTGGGCTTAGCGCGTTTTGTTTCCGTGCATTCGGTTCCACCCATTCGTTCACAAGGAGTTTGACGTCTTGGCGTGACAGCAAACCTTCCATCGGCTGGCCACTACCGCAGTACAGTTTACAGTGCATCAATCACTATTGACGAAGGAACAGTTTAATTTCAACCTGGAAGTGATCAAGGCCAATTCTCTTGACAAAAGTGAAGGAACTCATACTTCTTCCGTCTCATTTATACTGTAACTTCAAAGTTGTATTCTATATGGCAGCCCAAAAAGTCACAGAATGGCGCAAACTGCCCATCAGTCTCACAGAGCTTTGCATCGAAACCACACTCCGATGTGGCCAGTCCTTCAGATGGCGCAAGATAAATGAACAATGGTCCGAATACTCAATCATCTCTTCTCATCTCCCTTTCGTTCTAAACATACCAAATTCTAACACTTCTTAGGCACTGCGTCCTCAAAGGCCGTCTCATCTCCCTAAAACAAGATCCCACCCATCTTCACTACAAAGTGACATGGCCTACCTGTACAGCAACTCCCAAACATGAACACCCCCAAGACTCCGAAGACGACACCTCCACCCTCCTCCTCAACTATTTCGCCCTCTCCCACTCGCTCACCACCCTCTACGCCCAATGGTCCCTCTCAGACGCCAACTTCGCCCGGCGCGCGCCCGCTTTCACGGGGATCCGCATCCTCAACCAGGACGCCTGGGAGACGCTGATCTCCTTCATCTGCAGCAGCAACAACAACATTTCACGCATCAGCCAGATGGTCCTGAAGCTGTGTACGCACTACGGTCCCTATATCGGCACCGTGGAGGGGGAAGCGTTCCATGATTTTCCGGGGCCGGAGGCGCTGGCGGGGGAAGGGGTCGAGACCCATTTGAGGGAGCTGGGGTTTGGGTATAGGGCTAAGTACATTGCTGAGACGGCGGGGTGTGTGGCGCAGGTTTATGGGGAGAAGTGGTTGTTGAGGTTGAGGAATCCGGGTGTTCCTGCGTTGGGAGCGGCGACTAAGGAGGCTGTTGGTGGTGGTGGTGCTGAGGTAAAGAAGGAGGAAGAAGAGAAGGGGCAGAAGGAGAACCATATTGTTGATTCCAAGGTTGACTTGGATGATGATTCACCGACGTACAAGAAGGCCCATGAAGCTCTGCTGACTCTGCCGGGTGTTGGCCCAAAGGTGTCGGATTGTGTGTGCTTGATGGGTCTCGGCTGGGGCGAGTCTGTTCCTATCGATACACACGTTTGGCAGATTGCCCAGAGAGACTATAACTTTGGTGGGAAAGGGGGTGCCAAGACCAAGACGCTCAACAAGGCCATGTATGAGGCCGTGGGCGACCATTTCAGGAAGATTTGGGGACCCCAGGCTGGTTGGGCGCAGAGTGTCCTCTTTACTGCGAATCTCAAGTCATTCTCGGAACAAGCAGCGGGGGCGAAGAAGGGGGCGGTGAAGGTGGAAGAGGAAAGCCAGGAAGAGATGGTTACGAGCGCTGAGGCCGTGACTAAACCTGGAAAAAGGAAAGGAGTGGTGGTCAAGGTCGAAGAAAGCGAAGAGATGGTTGCCACAACGTCGGCGGCGAAGTCTAGGAAACGGAAGACGGTTGCTGCGGAAGTGATACCGAAGGCTGAGCCGGAGGCCAACGTCCAGACGACAACAACTCGGACGTTACGGTCCAGTAAAAGGATAAAGAGCCAAGTCTGAGTTCGGGAATGGCGCCGATGGGGCTGCTATGTTACCCATATATACCAACTTGAACACCTGTCCCCATCTCCGAATTCACCTCCGCAGTAAACCAACTTTCCACTCTTTAAACACCCGTTCGGTGGTAGGCAGCAGAGAGTTACTCCTGTCTAGATGTTGCATGACTTCCTGAATGGCCTTTACCGGAAGGTTCACCTCCTGGGCATCGCCAGTGAGTGAATCCAGCATACGATCAGCCTCCTCTCGAGGTACCAAACGATAAAGCAGTTTGATAGCCAGAGTACCACTTCTAGCTCCTGGCCTTGTGGCGGCGGTCTCAGCTGACGACGAGTACACAATGCCACTGTTGAGCACCCATATGTGGACAACTTTGTCCTTCCCTATCACATCTTCCTCTGTGGTCGCAATGGTCTCTGTGATGGGAAGCAACAGCGACTTGGAGGATCCCGATCGCGCTATGGTGGATACAAGAGTTGCGGCGAGACACTCCTCAAGTCCAGGGTTAAGGTTGGAGACAGAATCGCAAGAGATCTGCCACTTCAGGAGTGTGACTGCGGCTGTCCGGAAATTGTAAAAGCCAAGATGAGCCTGGCAGGAAGAGCAAAACACGTTAAGACTCCGGATCTGGCTGCTGCTTTCGTCTGGAGCAACAGCTTGCCTATCTGGTGATCCATGCTCAGGGGTAGAGAGAGAATACTAGAGAGCGGAAAGGTGGTCAGCACTAACTGACGTAAGGGGGAAGGTTTACTGGCATGAAGAATTGAGAAGGAATGTTCCTCCAGTTGATCCCAGAGCATTTAGGACTTGAGAATGATCTGGCGAAATGCGGAGGTTCAGCCCATCATCCACCGATGGGAAGCGCCCCGTCACAGAAGTGAGGTTCGTCAACCACTCGGTGTCCCGCGAAGGCAGGGGACAGACTTTGCTTGATTTTGGGCATTTGTATCGGTATCCATGCCATTGAGGGGCCGAAGCCGACTTGGCTACCTTCTTGATGCCCAGTTGTTTTGTACGTATTTCAAGAGAAACAATTCGGAATGGTGAGTTGCGTAAGTCATGAGCATGCTACATCTGGACTTACTGTGATGTTGGAACAGTCCTGCTCGACGAATAACAGCGTTGTCAAATCAACAAACCCAACACTTTGTTGAGCCGAGATGACCGAGCTCGCTCCATATCCTCGAGCTGCAAGACTCATGTCGTCCGCTTTGGCACCCTGGCCGCTGGTTTGGGAAGCAGAAACGGCGTTTGACTTGTCGTGGTGATGATGGTCATCATGATCGTGATCGTGATCACCAGGTTTGTGACAGTGCCAAAACTCCATCATCTCGGCCCAGTTCTCACTGGGGAGGTCTTTCCAGACCTTGACGACATCTTGATTGACAACAACAGCCTGGCATTGCCTACAAGCAACTTGGGACCCGGCTTTCAGATCAGTGGCTGTCCAAGTCGACGACTCTGCTGATGATGCATCCGTATCTGTTGCTTGACCCAACGGTAACCTCCATGAGAGCGCAGAGGCACCGGGCCTTTGAATGGGCAGTATTGCGCCACCGAGGGCCACCTTTGAGGGTAGGCGCAGTGTATGTGACTGTCCATGGTGTTTGAGCTCGACATTCTCCCCATCCGCTGCCACCACTACTTGTGTGGACGCATCGCTTGCAGAGCCCAATGAGATGGCAAGGGATATCTGGCGAATATTTGAAAGTAACTCGGCATAGAGTAGCGGTGCAGTTTCGGATGTCATGTTGGTCGAGACGAAGATGAAGCGAGGTTGTGTGATGTGAGATGGAAGTTGTGGAAAGTGGAAGCTCCCCCACATGAGCTCACTGCAGTGGAAATGGAAACTCCCCTGCTCCCCACAGCGATCGAAACGCGTCTCGGTCTGGACTGCTTACCTAATGCACTTAGAGCGCCACTTAAAGTGGAAACTTCAGGTGCAGCCTTGCCAAGCCCGTGTCAGCTCGGTTGCTCACGTCCCGTCACCAGTCGCTGGCCAAAATTTCAGGGAAGGCGTGTGCATCTCGCATCCACTGCGCCAGTCCTCAGCCGACACCTGCATCCTTCTGCCTCCATCGTTCTTTCTTTGCTGATAGCTTATCACGACAAGTGTCACCTCAACTGTCAACGTCAATTTCAACTGTCCCGTCAGTTACCATATCCGATTCCACCCAACCACCCTCGGGCAGCGCCACTTCATCACGTCCCGTTTCCTCACGACTACATACCACCAATCACCCCCGCGGCGCGCTGGACAGTATCACGACGACCCCAACCTGACATGACACGAGGAGGATACGGCCAGCACCATGTCGGACTCGGATTTTGAGCAGATCAAGAAGCTCCAGCAGGAGCGCAATGCTGCTGCTGCCGCCAAGAATGGTTCGCGCACCTTTGATCCTGCCAACCAACGATCCGACAACACTACCAAAGCCAAGATGGGAGAGGTCTGGGATACCGGCCTGTATGAACGCGACAATGGCGATAAGTTCGCGGGCTACCACACCACCCTGCCCGCCGCCGATGGTGAAGATGAAGATATGGAGGATGCCGACTCCGGCCGCCGCCTAGTAGGACAGTACACCGCCACTCGAACCCAGATCGATGAGTTCGCACGCGGCGATGGCGTCGAGGAGGATGATCCCCTGGCTGGCCGGGGTGAGAAGAGCAACCGCATCACTGACAGGGAGACCGACTACCAGAAGCGCCGATTCGACCGCGTTCTGACCCCTACACGAGCTGACCCTTTTGCTGCCAACCGCCAGGCAGGTGCCGCCGAGGATGGAGAAAGCTACCGGGAAATCATGGAACGCCGCGAGCTTGAGCGAGAGGAAGAGCGCGTACGGCGGGCCATCGAACAGAAGATGAAGGAGGGCGGCCCTGTTGAGGAGCACCAGCCTACCCTCAAGGATTCCGGTGACAAGGAGAACGAGGAGGCTGGCTCTACTGAAGCTGCGGCTGGCCGGAAGCGCAAGAAGAGATGGGATGTCGCCTCTACAGAAGATGCCACCCCGGCACCAGAGCCCAAGAAGAGGTCTAGGTGGGATCAAGCACCATCTGTTCCCGCTCCAGGGGCTCCAGGGGCAGAAACCAAGAAGCGATCCCGCTGGGACCAGGCGCCTTCTGCCACTCCCGTTGGCAATGTCGGCCTAGCTACCCCGATGCACCCTACCCAGACCGCCGTCGTACAACCAGTTTTTGGCACTGATGCGGCCGGTCGATACGCGCCGCTTAGCGACGAGGAGCTGGATGCCATGCTTCCAGGCCCCGAGCAAGGTTACAAGATTCTTGATCCGCCACCAGGGTATGCCCCCGTGCGAGCACCGGCACACAAGCTGATGCAGGCTCCGGCCCCAACAACGGGCTTCATGATGCAGGAACCTGACAGCGGACGGATGACGGGCCAGCAGGTACCAAAGGAGATCCCCGGTGTGGGAGACCTGCAATTCTTCAAGCCCGAAGACATGGCATACTTCGGCAAGCTTACCGACGGAGCTGATGAGGAAAGTTTGAGCGTCGAAGAGCTCAAGGAGAGAAAGATCATGAGGCTTCTCCTGAAGGTCAAGAACGGTACCCCACCTATGAGAAAGACTGCGCTCAGACAATTGACAGATAATGCTCGCAACTTTGGTGCCGGCCCCCTCTTCAACCAAATCCTTCCTCTGCTCATGGAGAAGACGTTGGAGGATCAGGAACGCCATCTTCTCGTCAAGGTTATCGATCGTATCTTGTACAAGCTCGATGACATGGTTCGACCATACGTTCACAAGATCCTCGTCGTTATCGAACCTCTTCTTATTGATCAGGACTACTATGCCCGTGTTGAGGGTCGGGAAATTATTTCGAACCTCAGCAAGGCTGCTGGTCTTGCCACAATGATCAGTGTCATGCGTCCAGATATTGATCACGTCGATGAGTATGTCAGAAACACTACTGCCAGAGCCTTTGCCGTAGTTGCTTCGGCTCTGGGTATCCCAGCTCTGCTTCCCTTCTTGCGAGCTGTATGCCGAAGCAAGAAGTCGTGGCAGGCTCGTCACACAGGTGTCAAGATTGTCCAGCAGATTCCCATCCTGATGGGCTGCGCAGTCTTGCCCCATCTCAAGCAACTGGTTGACTGTATCGGACCCAACCTGAACGACGAACAGACCAAGGTCCGCACAGTAACCAGTTTGGCCATCGCAGCTCTCGCCGAGGCATCCAACCCCTACGGTATCGAGAGCTTCGATGACATCCTCAACCCCCTCTGGACCGGTGCCCGAAAGCAGCGAGGCAAGGGTCTGGCGGGTTTTCTCAAGGCTGTCGGTTATATCATCCCGCTTATGGATGAAGACTATGCCAACTATTACACCAGTCAGATCATGGAGATTCTGCTACGAGAATTTGCCTCTCCAGATGAAGAGATGAAGAAGGTTGTGCTAAAGGTGATTTCACAGTGCGCCGCCACCGACGGAGTAACGGCTGGATACCTCAAGGAGCATGTGCTGGACGAGTTCTTCAAGAGCTTCTGGGTACGGCGTATGGCTCTGGACAAGCGCAACTACCGACAGGTCGTTGAGACCACCGTTGACATTGGCCAGAAGGTCGGTGTCAGCGAGATTCTGGAAAGGATCGTTGCCAATTTGAAGGATGAGAGCGAAGCGTATCGTAAGATGACCGTGGAGACTGTCGAGAAGATTGTGGCCTCTCTCGGTGCTGCCGACATTGGCGAGCGTCTGGAAGAACGCCTTATTGACGGCATTCTTCATGCGTTCCAGGAACAGAGCGTCGAGGATATCGTCATGCTCAACGGCTTCGGTTCGGTGGTTAACGCACTGGGCACCCGATGCAAGCCTTACCTTCCTCAGATTGTCAGCACCATCCTCTGGCGTCTGAACAACAAGTCAGCTACTGTACGACAGCAAGCAGCTGATTTGATCTCCCGCATCGCCATGGTCATGAAGCAATGCGGTGAGGATGCCCTCATGGGTAAGCTTGGTATTGTCCTTTACGAGTATCTCGGTGAGGAGTATCCCGAGGTTCTTGGCTCTATTCTTGGTGCTCTCCGCTCCATTGTTACTGTTGTGGGTATCAGCCAGATGCAGCCCCCTATCAAGGATCTTTTGCCTCGCCTCACCCCTATTCTTCGTAACCGACACGAGAAGGTACAAGAGAACACGATTGATCTTGTAGGTCGTATCGCCGATCGCGGTCCCGAGAGTGTCAACGCCCGCGAGTGGATGCGTATCTGCTTTGAGCTTCTCGACATGCTCAAGGCTCACAAGAAGGGCATCAGACGTGCTGCCAACAACACTTTCGGTTTCATCGCCAAGGCCATCGGTCCTCAGGATGTCCTTGCCACCCTTCTGAACAACCTCCGCGTTCAGGAGCGTCAATCTCGTGTCAACACGGCCGTCGCCATCGGTATCGTTGCCGAGACATGCGCGCCCTTCACCGTGTTGCCCGCGCTCATGAACGAGTATCGCGTCCCCGAGCTCAACGTCCAGAACGGTGTGCTCAAGTCGCTCTCTTTCCTCTTCGAGTACATTGGCGAGATGGCCAAGGACTACGTTTACGCCGTCACGCCGCTCCTGGAGGACGCCCTCATCGACAGAGACCAAGTGCACAGACAAACAGCCGCGAGTGTCGTCAAGCACATTGCCCTTGGCGTCGTCGGTCTCGGTTGCGAGGATGCCATGGTCCACTTGCTCAACTTGCTGTATCCCAACCTGTTCGAGACCAGCCCCCACGTTATCGACCGCATTGTCGAGGCTATCGAGGCCATCAGGATGGCCGTCGGTCCGGGACTGGTCCTCAACTACGTCTGGGCCGGTCTGTTCCACCCGGCGAGAAAGGTGCGCACACCATATTGGCGTTTGTACAACGATGCGTATGTCCAGTGCGCGGACGCTATGGTGCCGTATTACCCTAACCTCATCGAGGAGGGCATCGACAGGACGGAGTTGGCGATTGTGCTTTAGACGATGCGATGGGAGGGAGGTTAGCGGGAGCAAACAGGTTTCTTGTTCATATGATTCAGATTCTTTATGACGACGAGGGGAACAACACGATATTTTCTTGAAGCGGCTTGGATTTTGGGCGCGCATGCGCTATTGAAGGCTTCACACACACACGTACACACTAAAAGAAGAATCGAGTGATGCCACTCGTGGTTTTATGTGCGATATACGTTAGGAAACGCGGTTTGTTTTGTGACAATGTCATCGTTTGTCGTATTGGTTAGGACATCAAGATGATGACATTCTATGTTGTTGTAACTGATGGTTGTTGTTGGTTAGGTTAGGGGGTAGCTAGGTTGTTACATATACTCTTGTAGAGTTTAGGGCAGTCGAGCAGGTGAGCGCAAAAAAGGATAAATGCATTAATGAAGGAGTTTGTGGATGATCTTCCTCGGGCTTATTTTGAACCTGTCTTGCTTGTAAGCCCTTTTGAGATTTCCCAGTTGAGTCATGAAGCTCGATGGCTAGCGACAGCCTTCGGTTGGCAGTACCTCCAGTCATGGTCATCTTCGTGTTTAATGGGCTTTGTTCGACCTGAAGTAATCGTTTCCTCGACCGTTTGTCTAGAGATACCAACCTGAATATCCTTTCACTCACCCATCATCTAACAACTCCGATTCTTCAACAACCACCAGCATGACAATAGGTTTCTCGATCCGCTCTTCTAGTTCCTTCCATGAGCACTGCTTTCTTCAAGTTGATTCATAGCTGATCGATAGTTGTCGCTCAAGGAGAGAAAGCGAGAAGCGAG